ACGCCACCTGTGAAGTATATAATATAGATAGTCCCAATATAAAGAGTCAAATGTTTTTCATAAATCTAAAGACAGTAGAATCCCTGAGATCCCAGATTGGTGAATATGAGGAATAAGGTGTATGACTTTACGAGTAAGGGGGTTTGCCATGTAATTTAGAGAGGATAGAGGTCAACCACGCAAAAAAGGATGTGGGGTTTTGCGGAAGTGGAACCATCTGAAAGGTGTAGTCTGATAGGTGGAGGGGCCCTCGGCCAACCTATTAGCATGTTTGCAAGCATAGGTTCAGGTTTTTTTCTGCTGTTTTTCTGCTTTCTTTAATAGGAAGAAGATTCAATTCCATTTTAACAGAACACATTTCCTCAGGCAGCGAAGCTGAAGGGTTAGCTTTCCAAACAAACAGCATTTTTGGGGCCTTTTGTTTCTGCTGAGATGCTAGGCTAATGATGTTTCCAAAACAATGTAGCCTTATGGGAATGGGAATGTGACCGAGTGCTCTATTTCCGCACAAAAACAGAAGAAGCACATTTGAATATAATGGGCATAGTAAAAAAAAGTAAGAAGAGAGTCATTCATCCTTCAATGAAAATGCGAAGGAGCGAGGGGTAAGGCGGAACATTTAACTGTTCTCTGTAGGAGCAAGTACCTCTCTGTCGGGTCCCTACTCTCAGAGAGCAGAGAAAAGGGGTGTTTTTATGGAAAGCTATCAAACCCCCTCTCTTATTTTCAGCAAAGGAAGCTTAATAAACATGAGGGTAATTATTGTGGATATATCCTGGGTGGGAGTACTCTATTATTGCAAACACACTATATTAGCTTGGTGGGATGAAAAATAATTAAAAGCAATCCTACTTTTCTAAGAAAAATGAAGTCCCTGCAAGTTATTGGATAAAATATTGAAAGGAGAGGATGTCATCTCCACCACAGTAAGAAAAGTTTCCACCTGAAAACATACTGCAACCAGAGCGTAAGGCCATGGCTAAACTGTCAAGTGGACCCGGCGTCATCAGAAAACAAAGGAAAGAAGTAAAGGGCAAGAAGAGGAAAGAGGCAGGGGAACAGAACATCAGAGATAAAAAACCATAACCACATAATTGCTAAGCAGTAGTCGGAAATACCAAATACTATTCCAATAAAGAGGGGCTGCCCAACCCACCCGGACTTGGAGGGCGCATCAATGGTGGAAAGAATCCATACCTTGTATAACCAATATTAGAAAGGTTAAGGCAGAAAGGAAAGTAGAGAAAGAAAAAAGCGCATAACATTTTTTTTCAAGAATAGATTTTTATTCATTTCATATCATATATAACTCCTTTATATATTTATATACACAAAAATAATAACAGTAGCGTCTACATCCAACAACTATTTCTTATCCGTAATTACTTATTACGACTAATACTTATCAATTGGATTTAAACTAAACCACCATCATAAATACTTTCATACATACGCTTAGGTCTGTTATAACATGAAAAAAAGAGCAGAGAAAAAGGAAATATTATATTATCTAAAAATTACTATTCATTCCCAATACAATTCACAGTCTGACACCTTTACTCTCACCCCTACACATTTTTAAAACCCATCATCCTCAGAAAAGCCATCCACGGTCTTTATTTTTCTACAAATGTCGCGTGTCTATCATATAAACGAGCTGTCAACTCTTCCATTCGCATTATATGGTTAATTTCTAGTACCCAATCCCGGATCTCAGGGGCATTTGATTGTCTCCAGTATCTTGGGATTATCGCCCTTGCTGCTGCCAATATGGGACATGTCAATCTCCTCTTGATACTTTTTACTGAGCCCGGAAGCATTGATAGTAATGCCGCTTCTGGGGCTTCAGGTAATTTTAATCCCAAAACTCTACCCGCCAGTTCAAAAATAATTCTCCAGTAGGGCTTGATTCCCTGACAAGTCCACCATATATGCAGCATTGTGCCCTCTTCTATTCCACATCTCCAGCACAGCTTAGTTACTTGGGGGTTTATTTTATGTACTGTCACTGGGCATCTATACCACCTTGTTATTATTTTAAAGTTCCTCTCCTGTATTCCAATGAAATACTCGATTTAAAAGTTAAGAAGAAGAAGACTTTATGCCAATCCTCTTCTGCAAAAGTCTGTCCTATTTCTCATACTCACTCTTTAATATAATAGGGAGGGGACGGGAACATTAACTCCAAAAGTATATTATAGATTCTTGACACACTGTGCTTCCCCCCTGGTTTATGTAAGATCATTTTTTCAATTAAAGTCAATTCCCTCTCTATCCCTGGGAGCACAAGTAGTTGTCAAAGTGTTTAAGTTGAAAGTAGTCAAGCCATCTACCTTGGCTCGCAGCTCCTGGTGGCAATAGATCTGTTAAAAGGGAGTACACCCAATGCATTCACAGCTTGTAATATTGGGGAATGGCTCGAGGTCTTCCATTTCAAAAATCCTTTATCCCCCAATCCCTGTGGGAAATCTGGGTTACCAAGTATGGGTGTCAATGGGCCCACATAAGATGATACATCACACTTCTTAATCAATGCATCCCATACATTTATTATCAGTCCTATTATGACTGACTGGTTCCATCCCCATGGCCTTTTGTCTGGGTTTATCCATGGTAAGGACGTTAGCGGTATTGAGAGCTCAGCTTGTTCTATGGTGACCCAGAGTTTGGGCCGCGTAGGGTCGAACCAGTCCATTATTCTGCTTTATAATATATCTCCATGTGTAGACTCCCTCCTCCTACTGATCTCCCTTTAACCAAAATATCATATCTCAGTCGCGCTCCTGAAGTACCCCAGGTATATTGTAGCAGCAGAGATCGTAATCTATGAAAGTATAAACTGGGAATTTTCACCGGGGTCGTCTGAAATAGATAAAGAAATCTTGGGAGGATGTCCATCTTAAATAGAGTCATCCTCCCTATCCAAGAGTGTTTACTCTTCTTCCACACCTCCATTCGTGCTTGTGTCGTCTCCAGGAGGGGTATGTAGTTAAGTTCATATAGTTTTCTTACATCTGCAGATATTTTTATTCCCAGATAATGTATCACTTCCCGAGTCCAGGTGAATGGAAAACTAGACCTCAGAGTTTCCCGCTCGCCCTGGGGGAGAGTTACATCTAGGCATTGAGATTTACTAGCATTAATTTGATAGTTGCTAACTCGCTTAAACTGTTCTATCTCCCCCAGGACCAGCGGGAGTGCTATCCTGGCATTTGTGATGTAAAAAAGCAAATCATCCGCGAAAATACTCAATTTGTGTGTTCTCTCCTTAATGGTCACTCCCCTTATATCTAAATTCTGATCATATTGCTATAGCTAGATGTTCCATGGCTATGATATATAGTAAGGGGGAGAGTGGACACCCCTGCCGGTCTTGTATAACGTTGGTTTAAGAATTATATCTCTCAGAGGGTCCGTTGGTGTGTTTAGGAAAGAGAGCGCGGTGGATCCGATCTAGTTCAAGCAGCTTGACCGGGTAGCCAAGGAGCAGTTCTTGGAACATGGCAGTGACGGTGATTTGAAGATATTCAATATGCTCAGGAACACTGCAAATTCATTTGTTTCCCCGACGGATACTATTTTTCAGATCTTCTAATTTTTGCAGGACTGTGGAGAGGTCAGATCCTGCTCATGAGTATTACATAGTTACATAGTATTTGAGGTTGAGTAAAGACATTAGTCCATCAAGTCCAACCTATTAGGATCTCATTCTAGGAGTACCTGTACCCCTGTATATTACGGTCCCTTAAGAAATCGTCCAAAAGTTTCTTGAACAATTCCACATTATTTGCTGAAATCACCACCTGTGGCAGTGAGTTCCAGACCCTAACTGATCTTACTGTGAAGAACCCCCTTCGCCCCTTGGGCTGGAATTTTTTTTCCACCAATTTTAGGTGGTGGCCTCTAGTTTTTGTAATGGAGTTAATTTTAAACAGTTTATCGCTAATGTTGCTACCACCATTGAACATTTTGTACATGGAGATCATATCCCTCCTCTGAGAAAACATCATCCACGTTTTGCTCCATCTCGTGTAGTCACAAGCCCAATTCTTTAATCTCCCTGGAAAGCTTAGAAGTCATTTTATCTGTAGAGGCCAGAAATTTCCTTTGAAGCAGCAGCTTACATTTTTCAAAGAGGGCCGCATCTTGACAGGAGACGTCTGGTTGTTCAGGAGGTGACTTGTGGTGGAAGACTGTTGTTAGAGGAACCATTAGTTGCATCAGCCAATTCCAGGGAATAGACGAGATGCCCTGAAGAGGAAGGTGGAGATGCCATCTTTGCCAGGCATGCCACAGGTGAGGAGGCTGGAATCTGTGATTGGATCTGGGATGAAGACGTTTATTTATGCATGAGGCAGTCACTCAAGTGTAGATGTTAAGTGAAGAGAAAACAGAATGAGAAATCGATTGATATAATACTGAAATAGCTGATTGCATGCCCGGGTGCTGTAGCGTCATATCAACAAGCGGCCATCTTGCTTGGCTGCTCACTAGCGCCCCCCCCCCCCCCCGGCAAAGTATATGTTCAATTTAACTCAGTGAATGAGGAAAAGATCGGATCAATTCTATTATTCCATTACGTTGAAGCAAAATTTCTGATTTTTTTTTAAACTCCCTTGCACATGATTGGGTTTGCTTAGTTGAGCGAACATACAGATTGCAAAGTCAACAACCTCTACATCCTAAGAAAATCAACCCCAGTTTGTCTTTGGATTTGACCTGTGTTTATGTCTTCATAACATAACTGGCTTCTCTCTTTGGTAATATCTCTGGTGTCCAATAAGATTTCTAATTTAAATGAAGTGAGTCTCACATTCATAGCAACAAAACAGCTCTTCTGCTCTGTGGATCTTCTGGTGTCCAATAGGATTTATATTTGATGCAAAGCTTTGTCACAATCTAAGCAGGAAAAATGGTTTCTGTCCACTTTGAGTCCTCTGGTGAAAAGTAACATGTGACTTTATGGTGAAACATTTGCCACATTGCGAACATTCTGAACTTCAATATGGTTTCTCTCCTGTGTGGATCCTCTGGTGAACAGTAAGATATTTATTTCGTGAGAAGCCCTTGTCACATTCTGAACATCTATATGATTTCTCTCCTGTGTGAATTCTCTGGTGCTGAGTAAGAGTTTGCTTTTGGTTGAAACACTTGTCACATTCTGAACATCGAAATAGCTTCTCTGCAGCGTGAATCCTCAGGTGCTTAGTAAGATTTGCCTTAACTGAGAAGCACTTTTCACATTCTGAGCATTTATATTGTTTCTCTCCAGTGTGAATCCTCTGGTGAACAGTAAGATTCCTCTTAGTTGTGAAGCACTTGTCACATTCTGAACATCGACATGGCTTCTCTCCAGTGTGAATCCTCTGGTGTTCAGTAAGACTTCTCTTTCGCATGAAGCACATGTCACATTCTGAACATCTATATGGTTTCTCTCCCTTGTGGATCCTTTGGTGATCAGTAAGATTTCCCTTTTGTGTGAAGCACTTGTCACATTCTGAACATCGAAATAGCTTCTCTCCAGTGTGTATCATCTGGTGTTTAGAAAGATGTCCCTTAAATGTGAAGCACTTTTCACATTCTGAGCATTTAAATTGTTTCTCTCCAGTGTGATTCCTCTGGTGTTTAGTAAGACTGTCCTTAGTTGTGAAGCACTTGTCACATTCTGAACAAGGAAATGGCTTCTCCCCAGTGTGAGTCCTCTGGTGTTCAGTAAGATGTCTCTTAGTTGTGAAGCTCTTATCACATTCTGAACATCGAAATGGCTTCTCTCCAGTGTGAGTCCTCTGGTGTTTAGTAAGATGTCCCTTAGTTGTGAAGCACTTGTCACATTCTGAGCATTTAAATTGTTTCTCTCCAGTGTGAGTCATCTGGTGACTAGTAAGATGTCCCTTAGTTGTGAAGCACTTGTCACATTCTGAACAAAGAAATGGCTTCTCCCCTGTGTGAATCCTCTGGTGTAGAGTGAGATGTATCTTTGTTCTAAAGCTCTTATCACATTCTGAACATTTAAACTGTTTCTCTCCAGTGTGAATCCTCCGGTGAACAGTAATACTAGCCATTCGTGTGAAGCACTTGTCACATTCTAAACATCGAAATAGCTTCTCTCCAGTGTGTATCATCTGGTGGTCAGTAAGACTTCCCTTAGTTGTGAAGCACTTTTCACATTCTGAGCATTTAAATGGTTTCTCTCCAGTATGAGTCCTCTGGTGCAGAGTAAGATTTCCCTTTTGAATGAAGCACTTGTCACATTCTGAACATTGAAATAGCTTATCTCCTGTGTGTATCATCTGATGGTCAGTAAGACTTCCCTGAGTTGTGAAGCACTTTTTACATTCTGAACATTTAAATGGTTTCTCTCCAGTATGAGTCCTCTGGTGCCGATTAAGACTTCCCTTAGCTGTGAAGCATTTGTCACATTTTGCACAGCTAAATAACTTCTCTCCAGTATGGGTCCTCTGGTGACCAGTCAGATTTCCCTTAGTTGTGAAGCACTTGTCACATTCTGAGCATTTAAATGGTTTCTCTCCAGTATGAGTCCTCTGGTGCCGATTAAGACTTCCCTTAGCTGTGAAGCATTTGTCACATTTTGCACAGCTAAATAACTTCTCTCCAGTATGGGTCCTCTGGTGACCAGTCAGATTTCCCTTAGTTGTGAAGCACTTGTCACATTCTGAACATTTAAATTGTTTCTCTTCAGTATGACGTTTTTGGTGAACAGCAAGCCTTTCCTTTTGTGCAAAGCACTTGTCACATTCTGAACATCGAAATGGCTTCTCTCCAGTGTGAATCCTCTGGTGTTCGGTAAGATTTCCCATATTTGTGAAGCACTTCTCACATTCCGAACATCTAAATGGCTTTTCTCTAGTGTGTTGTTGAGGAAGATGTGTCTTATCAAATAATTTCTCTTCATTATGAATCTTCTGGTGAACTGTAAGAAGTGACTTTGAAATGAAGCTTCTCTCACACTCTGAGCACTCATATAGCTTGTCTCCTCTGGGATTCATCATGTTCTAACGAATAACAGCTTAGCAGTGATATATTTTCAGACTGCTCAAATGATAATTGTAGAAATTATGGTGGATTCCTGAAAAAAAAGAAATAAACTATATAAGAATCATAGAATATTGACAACAAATAAAGAGAATCTAATAAACCTAATGAGACATTTCACGTTTTGCCTGGCATAGAGGTTTGTATGCAGCTTCTTCTTTTGCTGGGTTTTCTGGCTAGAATATTCATACAAGCCACATGGTTTCTTTATTTTATATAAAAGGCTGTAAATGTACACATTTTATGTTTTTCTGGTTCTTTGTGGAAAACACTATGGGAGTTATTCACAAAGCTGCCAAAGGCAGCCGAGTGAATAACCTAGCCATGGTGAAGTAAGCCAAACTACATTCAGCTATTCACTCCAGCTCAGTATGGCTTATTTCAGCTGTACTTCAGCTGCAATCAGCCATACATCTGCTGTCTCGGCCAGCCGAACATGCTCTGCATGTTCGATTTAGCCGAAGTGCAGAAGGACTTCGAATCAGCCGATCCAACATCTGGATCGGCTAAGCCGAAGCTCCAGCAGCTCACTCGCTGCCGTTTGCCCCTATTCTCATAGGGGCCGAACGGCAGTGAGTGAATAGCAGGTCCTGGCCAATTAATAACAACTGTGCAGAGCCGGCTGTGACGTCACAGCCGGCTCCGCCTAGTTGTTATTGTTTTAATGACAGATCAGCATCCCCAGGTCATTTGGGGACGCTGATCTGTCAATACAACTGGACGGAGCCAGCTGTGAGATCACAGCTGACTCCACCCAGCTGTCATTTGTGGGGCGAACGGCTGGCATTCAGCAGGCCATTTGCCTCGCTTTGGTTGCTACTTTGGTTCAGTTAAGCCGAAACATATGCCTTCAGCTGGGCTGAGCCGCTCGGCCGACTTCGGCTGCTGTCCAGGCTTTTATGAATCGCCCGTACAGCAGCCCTTCAGTTTAACTGAACCGTAGGGCTCCGGTGGCCAAAGAGAGCCGAAGGATCAGTCAAAGCTAAGACTCGATCCTTAAGCTCTTTCGTGACTAACCCTGTATATTACAATTCTTTTTAATGGGCTCTGAGTCTTCACTGCTGGGGATTGGTGCAGCAAAGATGTTTGCTCTTTCACTTAGCTATTCCCAGACTCCTCACCGCTCTGTCAGTTTCAGGATGACAGCGGCTCTGTGCGTGGCCGAGCAGAGGATCGGTAAATATCATTGATATTTACTTATCCTTTGTGCAGGCAAACACTGGAGTGAGCATCTGATCACTCCAGTGTTTGTAAATAACTGGGGACACATAGTTCTATGTGTCCCCAGTTATAAATGAACAGGATGTGATTTACATCACTTCCTGTGACTCCCCATTCATAAACTGCTTGATAGTAAATATTTTACTATCATCAGTTTCTGAATGAATGGGAAGCCTCTGTACTGAGTGCTTCCCATTCATTGAGTGCTGAGGCTGCAGAAAAAGAAATCAATTTTTCTATTTTAAAACATAAATGTCAGGGGTCTGTTTAGACCCCTAATATTTCCCTGAAGCCTCGGCTCAACTCAGTTCCGGTGCTCGGAATGTCCCGGTGCTCTTAAGATTTGTGATATTGCATTAAAATAACCCTGAAAACTAGACATGTGCATTCGGATTCGGACAAACCTGCAAATCAACGAAAATCAGTTGATTCGGTGGTGCGTCCAAATCCTAAATAACTAATTTAATATATGCATGGATATACTAAAACGATATTCGGGCATACATTAATTCCTTTTGAGAACACGCCGGCGGCCATATTGGCCGCCAGCGTGTTCTGCGCATGCCCACCGCCAGCTTGGAGGCGGAGCATGTGACATCACATGACAGTGACATCACACTCTGAATGTGCGGCGGCTGGGCGCATTCTGCGCATGTGCACTGCCATTTTGGACTAGCTCTAGGTATGCACTAAGATGGCGGCACTCGAACATGAGGGCGCCTCCATCTTGGTGTACACCAAGATCTACTTCAAAATGGCGGCACGTATGCACAGAACGCCCAGGTGGCCGATATGACCACCGCTCGTTCTGCGGTTTCAGTGTGCGGTTTCGGATTTGGATGCTGGATGTCTCCGAATCGAAAACAACATAAACATTTGTCTCCTTTGACGAAGCAAATAACGCTTTTCATTTGTTTCGTCTGAAAATGAATTATTTTGTTTTGCACATGTCTACTGAAAACATGAACGTTTATTCCAGACGAAACTGTTTTAGTTGCATACAACGACCCCCAACAGGTTTTACTGCTCTTAGGGCAAAAGATTTTTCCTTACTTTTATTTCTGGTGAACACGGTTTCATCAAACAGGAAGTGAGGGAAATATGCAACAGGGACACAGACACCAATACAAAGCTGAGAGGGATTCTAGAATTTCATTGCCTAAAACACACACACACACACACACATATACACATACCACACACATGTACTTCTGTCTGTAGAAAGTCCCTTTACTTCTCCACTGGTAATTAGATTGTCATTAAGACAAGGAGAAGGGCGAGAGAATGGAAATCTCTATAACTGAGCTCCAGATAGCAGGAAAAGCCCATCAGGAGTTCTAATATTTACTCAAGATATAAAAACTAAGACAAAAGTACATACACATTAACCCCTTCGTGACTGACGACGTACAGTGTACGTCGCCAGCATCGGGGCTGTTTAAACAGACTCCCGGCGACTTTTGCCGCCGGGAGTCTGTTTAAACTTGTAGAGCCGACTGTCGGCTTTACAACAGAAGCGATCCTGGCGACTTACCTGTCGCCAGATCGCTTCTGCGTCAACATTTCCTCTACTAACACACATTTACATATTAAGCTTTCAACAAATCACATTCATTTTTAATTTAAAATCAGCTCTTACTGTCTTCCCTGCGCCTCCCGTCCCTCTTCCTTTCACTCACATGTCCAGCTTTGCAGTGCACTGTTGAAATAACTCCGTGTGCAAACAAGCCTGATATATGTCGTTCCCCCTTCCCTCCCCTTACCTCCTCCTTCCCTCCCCTTTCCTCCTCCTCCTTACTAAAGCTCATACAACAGTCTGTTCACTGTGACACATTACACACAGCTAAGGAGCATACAAAGTCTTTCTAATGAACAAAGCTCTATATTGGAGAAGATTGTCTGCTGATGGCTGACATGGTGACTTCTATCAGAAAAGAGAAAACAAACTGGCTGAGATAACAAGCGTGACACATTCAGCTCACCTCTACACCCCCTCCTCTGTCACCGAGTAGTGATGTCCACTTCATGAACCAATTGTTCTTTTGAATCAATTCTTTTCAGTGAACTGGATGAATGGATTTCTCTGATTGAACTCATTCCATTGGAACAGTTCGGTGTTGAATGAATAGGAAAGCAGCTCTGGTAATACGATCCTAGTGTAAGAGAGCTCAGCTTCTGCCAGCCCCTCCCTGCAACCAATCAGAACTGAGAACCAACAACTGGATACCAGCTTACACCAGTTCTGAGTCAATAGCACACTGAATCAAAGAATCATATGAGTCTCCACAACAGTAACTGAATCAAAGGATCATATGAGTCTCCACAACAGTAACTGAATCAAAGGATCATATGAGTCTCCACAACAGTAACTGAATCAAAGGATCATATGAGTCTCCAGAACAGTTACTGAATCAAAGAATCATATTAGTCTCCAGTATAACAGCACACTGAATCAATGGTCAGGCTGCAGCATTGGTGAGGGACAGACATGGTTCTGTACCCTGAATGCACATTATTGCATATGCCTAGCCCTCCACGTTCTGGGGCGGGAGGGGGCACGGCGGTGCCATTCATGTCAATGGCAGTGCAGACACGCCTCCCACCTGCAGTGCGATTGCCAGCACCAGAACGCCTAGTACACTTGCGCTCCAGTGCTGTGCAATCGCATTCACGATTTCATGCAATTGCCTCGCACTGGAACGCAAGACATTGCTGTACCATGTTCGCACTACGATCGCACTACAGACGGAAGGCGTGTCTATGTTATAATAATGTTGGTGTTATAATAATAATCACAAGGAAGGTGGGGGAAGGGGGGGATACAGGGTCAGGTGGTGATGTGGCAACAGTGTCAGAGGATATACCGATTTGTGATGGGAGTCCATGTCAAACTGTTTATTCAAATGATTGACTAACACTGACTAAAACCTTAACAAAGAATGTTCCCCGGGAGCTGCCACCCTTCTGTGAATCAGTGTCTTGTGACTCAGATCAGTGCAGTGATCAGTGAGCCTTGCAGAGTCTACAGGGGAGGATTTGTGGGTGGTGGAGATTTTGCAGAGGGGAAGATTCTATAGAGGAGATGTGAGAGAGCTTCATGCCTCCTGACCTCTGAATGTAGTCCCTCACGGGAGTGAGCACAGAGGGTGACTACTTTTCAGGACACATAGTGACCATGGGGAAGAAAGGTTGCCCCCCTCTGGCAGGAAGTTGTGAATTGGATAAAATAAAACAGATTTTGGAGCACTGAGACCTGAACAATGAGAAATTAAGGTACACATGACAACAATCTACAATCTCTACCAGAAGCACAATGTGAAACTTGCTGAGTGCTCATGGATTGGATTTGATAGAATTCAGATTCATTTCAAACTGAGTAAACATTATGAGAGATGCAATGTTTCCAGGTTATTGATTTGCTGATTTATGAATTATCTGTTGCCTGGATTTGAGTTTAATAGCTAAACCGTCTAAGAAGAAGAGCACCGAGATATACTCTGCCTGCATCCAACATGTCTCTCAGTTCAATGCCCAGAGGATAAAACATGTAAATTGT